TAGCTTTTGAATAATGATGTCCTGTTGTCAACACCTTAAGACTCTGGAACCCATCCTAAATAGGGACCCCCCTACCTCCTACCCCCATCCTACCCCCACCCCCACCCGCTTCACAGAAAAAGGTGAATTTGATTAGCATAGCCTATCAACTCTTTGCACGTAAATGCTTTGAATCTGCTGATTCGAATAACACCTAATTTATAAATTACCATTCTCACTCACCAGTGGCTCGTTCGGCCAAAAACGAAAAATTCAGAACTATATCCTATCTTAACTGAGAAGCTAAAAAGAAAAGTCTCCAGCTAAAATCAGGCAAGTGCGTTCAAGCTGAGCGCAAGCAAAATAGGTTCAATTTTCATAGATTTATTGACGCTGAAAGGGAGCACCAAGTGAAGGCTGTTGGAATTTGGGTCGTCGAAAAGACGCTTTAAGTTGGTGTTGCGATACGCCAAGAACTGCTTTTTCAGGAGATTCATTTCATCTACCACTGCTGCGTTTTCCTTTTGTTCCTTATTATCTGCCAAAAAGATTAGCTTCAAGATTATTTAGAAAGCGATCAACAACAACCCTTAATATTCCCGAGTCAATATGGTGTTTGAATAATATATAATAAATCAATGTTATCTTTTTTGCGGGTTCTTGTGAAATAGGATCAAAAGTAAGGGCTATGTAAATTATAACAGTGTACACCCTTGTCTGAAAAGATTCTTGAATAAACCGTGTAGGTTATATACTAGGATCAGGTAATCTGGTACAAATTCACCATTCCATTGTTTACTTACTTGCACTTAATGGACTAGCATTTGAATATATAGAGATTAGAGTATTTGAAGCAAGAACATCTATTCTTAAGGGTCTTGGAATCAGATATTCTTGAAATCATCACCGAATATTTACATCTTAGTAGTTTATATGTAGGCCATGTCTAGAATATTCTAAATGTAACGTCCCTGACTAGAACTTCACGACTAGGCGAGTCAGGTGACTCGCCTCCTTGGCTTCGGATATATAAACCCACCCTCCCGGTGGACAAGAAAAGTGGCAGAGACCTCTTTTATCTTATCCTAACCTAACTAAAATCATTATATTATATTACTTATTTTGAACAATTGAATTGATTTATCGAAAACGATAGTATAATAAAAACAATTGTTCTAGAGATTTTAACCATTTTAGTACTTGGGATTAACCTACGCTAATAGTCCAAAAAGTGTATCTCTGCCACTTTTCTTGTCTACCCGGAGCCACCTTAGTACTTAGAACTCCCTTCTTCTCTCTTTAGCTTTAAATCCTCGCTTACGAGCTAGGTAAAGGGTCTAAACAGCTCGGGTCTCCCCCCCTTGTCACTCTCTAATATACCTCCACATGAATCGGACAATTCAATTGGCTTAGAGGGCTATATTGTGGAGTTATACCCTGCCTATAACAAGTCGTATACAGGTGAGGGGGAGACGCGAGCTATCTAGACCCTTTACTTCAATTCACTTTGTTTACGGTTCTTACCCGTATCCTCTTTTGTAAAGACGTAGCGAGAATATCCATTCGTTGCAGTGTATATGTACATCTAGGATTTCAAGTTTGCAACGCCCCCTTTTAGTCTTGGTACTTAATAATACTACTACTTGATTAGCGCGGAGCAAGTCGAACCAAACCCCGTAGCGCGCCTAGGTATCATTCCGATCGGTCCGACCGCTTAAAGAGGAAATCGCAAACCTAAAATCTAGGCTAATTACTACACGGCTTTGACATTTTACTAAACGGCTTTGAAGTAACCAGGGCTCCCGGGTAATATACAATGGGGAGCCAGGTACCTGTAAAGTTAATAAAGTAAAATAATTCGATTAACGTAGACCACAAGCGAGTTGGATTCCCAAGCGAAATGGATTTTTTTTCTTGGCATTTTATAAATTCTTAAATATCTTACGACACAATTAATTAAATTAATTACAGTATTCAGAATCGGAATTCTCACATATTTCTTCTCCTTTTTGACAAGTTCGTATGTTATGGCCATGTTTCCCAAATAGTCCACAGCGCCGGCGAGGTACTAGACTCGGGCTCGTACAATTACTATTTTCTACTAAAACCACTTGTTCTTGCGAATCAACATTACTAAGGACCCCTAAATCTTGCGCATCTTGGAGAGTAAGTGATCCTCCTTCCTGTAATCGGCGCTTTTTCGTACGACGACGCCGACTAAGTTGATCATTTGCTGTACGAAGTGTAGCATTCTCAGCTCGTAATAAAGCTACCTCAGTGATTGCACGCTGTGCACCCTTTGCAAGCTGGTCTAGGCCATATAGAATCTGGGTCGGAGAACTATCTTGGTGTCGTACGACCTTGTTTTGTATATATGACGTCTGGGAATATGCCTCTGTTATGTTATTTGGGGTCTTTGGTTCCCAAATAGCTAGGAGGCTTGTTGAGGTAGATGGACGTGACGGAGTCCTTGGACGTATATCAAGCTGTGAAATCACAGAATCTGGGTCGTACGGCACTAAGCCAGATCCTCGAAATCCTCCTCGAATGTTTGATTCAGTCATTGTCGTACGAAAGGCAGTATAGAATGTTGATAAGAAATCCTCCTTAGAAACATATGTAATGTGGAGTCGCATTAATTTCTCAAGTTCAGCACCGTACGACCTTTTTAACGCTCGAAAACATCCTACATCGAGTGGCTGGAGTCTATGAGAGGAATGAGCTGGCATGCAAAGAGTAATAATGTTATTACTCTTACAAAAAAGCTCAAAATCGACTGAGTGGTGGCTTTCATGGCCATCAAGCACAAGCAGCCGGTGAATGCCCTTCGTACGAAGCTTTGTATGCCGATCGAAATGGAAAATCCAATCTAGGGCTCGCTCATTTGTTGTCCAGCCATTTGTAGTTACAGCAATTACCCAGTCGCGTGGTAATTGGCTGTTTTCGTACCAGGAGGAGAGGTGGTTCTTCCCCGCCAAAATGATATATGGAGGCACTACAAAGCCGTACGACCCAACACCTTGAATTATTGTTGCCCATTCCCGGTTTCCTTGCTGTACTGTACGAGGCCAAGAAAGCCTTTCGGTACTTGTAACAACCATTTCTGATGTAATTTGGCCCATACAAAACCCAGTCTCGTCAAAGTTATAAATATCCTCCTCTGTCACGGTACAAGTGCAAGTCGAGGACAATTGCGACTTGGTTGAATAGATTGATTACAGGGAGAGAAGAGATTCTTAAGGAGATCTATCTTTTAAGTCGGTTGACACTGGTCTGTGCTGGTTTATCCATAATTGTGAGTAGCTTCATGAATGAACGCAGGTCACCTGATCTGACTCCTTGACATCCTCCTGAATCCCATATTTGTCAATTATATTTCCTACGAGGCGAAACCACGCGTTATACGCGTCTGGATTTTCGCATTGGACTCTTTGATAATCAATCCTTCGATTAAAATGCGTCTTAAGTTCAGGTTGTCGTCGTACGGAGTTCGAAGTCCAGTTCTTGCCAACGCGTCCTGCACCCCGCTCCGAGAGGATACGATTCGCCATATCTTCAACACAACGTACTCGTGGGGGAAATGATCGAGAATCTAGGTCGAGAACATGTCATACGATAACTATTTCTTCAATCTCTGTAAGTTTTCGAGATTTAGCGATAGAATCTTGTCGTGATAATATTCCATGAGTTCGATTAAGCAATGTCGTATAAGGTACTTTATAGATCCGCGCAACCTTCTTAACTTTTAAATGTGGGCTCGTACGAAGCATATTTAACGCAAGAATCATATCAGACTCTGTCCAATGCTTAACCATTTTGTTTGTTAAGAAAAAACGCGATCTGAATAAGTTTGTGGAGTGCCAAGAAAAAAATCCATTTCGCTTGGGAATCCAACTCGCTTGTGGACTACGTTATCCTATAACTATATTAAGTCGTATACCTCGTGCCCTCGCCGTCGCCGTCGTATATACTATCTACGAATACCCTTACTATCGCTATGATATCGTAATTACACCCTGAAAAATAGAATAAGGCTCTCGTTCTTTCGACTACTCTAGGACTCTTATTATCCGAATAGTTTAGTCGAGACTACGAAGTATAATTTCTTCGAATCAAATATCTTTAAAATTTATAAAACACTAAAAATAATAAGTATATAACATTTAGCGACGGCGAGGTAGTAACGACGACGATCGTAGTATTACTTTATACTAACCTAGGGCGGCTTTATAAGTACCTAGTAAGCTACTTTAATTTAGCTAGGGTCCTAGTTACTTTAAAGCCGCGTAGTAAAATGTTAAAGCCGTATAGTAAATGCTTAATCTAGATGTATATATTACTACTAAGGGATAGAATTAAATTTATACCGGTTTTATGTGACAGTTTTTGATTTAGTGAATAAGGGTTCGCTTAGCGAAGTTGCGGGTGTACCCTTCCGTAGATAGACAAATACCTAAGGAGTGCGAAGAGCGTCTCTCTTCCCTCCTTGCGAACAATCTATTCCTTGATCCCCACCACAACATTTTATTCTTCTTTCTCCTTTAAACTTACTCTATTATCTATTAGATATATAAGTACTATAGTAGAAATAAAATAGACTTGAGTTCTCATGAGTAGAAGTATAAGCATGAAAAAGTAATAGTTATCGACGTTTAAAAAAGTGTATGCAAGTATTATAATCTATTAAAAGTATACTATTAAATCCCAGGCGAGGAAAATGAAAACATCACGTGACCTATGACCTGGACCGTAGGCCAACGAATCAAATGAGCTATCATTCTCTGGGCTTTTGATCAACACACCAAATTTCAATAAAAGAGTGGAACAGGGAGCGATTTCAAGTCACTTGATACACGTTTCAACGCCACGTGTGACTGATAACAACAGTAAGAATAGTACCACAGCCTTGAAATGCCCCACTCATGCAAAGTGACGCGTATGATCGGCCCATCTCCATCCGCTTTTAAGGTGTTTCTAGCATCGTCCGAACTTTGACAGTACATTAATTCCGCTTCGTAATCTCTAATTCTCCTCTCGCCCGTCCTTCCTGTAGCATTTACTTCGCACGTATGAAATATGTCTCACAATTCCGGAGGCGTCAGACACCATTTTGTGACTCTAATCGGAGTCGAAACGATCAGAAGTGGATATTTTGTCCGTATGAGTGTAGATTTTCCATCCATCGATGAATATCGTATGAGGGATCTAGACTTAGATCTTGCCAGGATGCAAAACTATGAATCGGATCGAACAGGGATAAATAAGCCTTGCATGAGTCGCACTCGCATTCGTAACGGTGGTTCGCCCAAGTTATACTTTGTATCGTAGGGAAATTAACCCTACAGTATCTGTACTGTACAGTAACCCCGGGCCCAACAACACCGCTAAGCATCCCCTGGTGGACCTGGTAACTTTCCTTCTTAAAGCTTATTTTATTTGGTTCTAGGCACCGAGCTTCCCTAGACTCCCCTCCTTTCTGCCCATCTGATATTTCTTTGGTCTATCCTAACTCTCACCACTTAGAATACGATAACAAAGTCAACACAAGATGGGAAAACCAGTCAGCGCAGAACCTCCTAGGGAGACAGGAGAAGCGAATATCGATTGGGATGCACCACCTCAATATGAACAGCACTTCAGTGGGAATGATGGTCACATCAGTACCTCCGTATTGGGTATTTACCAGCCACCCTACTAGAGACAAATCGCGCCTCCATATCATTGGCTTACATTGTATACGAACAGATAATGGTAGAATTAGCATGATGTTTAATGGCGATTCGAAATTATTTCAAGACCAGTCACTACCCCCTTTACCAGAGTACGAAGCCGCAGCAATTCCACTCTCCCAAAGCTTTGCTACACCAGAACGACCTTTTCCGCTATTAAATATTGTCATACAAATTGTCGGTAGTCGAGGTGAGTTTTGTGGAATGCAGATGACAGTATACGAGGGAATTAATTGGAACTAATTGGAATTGAAGGCGACGTCCAGCCTTTTGTGGCTTTAGGGCAAGAATTGCATGCGGTTGGTCACAGGGTCAGAATAGCAACTCATGATGTTTTTGAAGAGTTTGTTACAAACTCTGGACTTGAATTTTTCTCCATCGGAGGAGACCCTGCAGATTTAATGGCTGTGAGTAATGTATTACCAAGCTCACTTAGTTTCTAATGACTCATAGTATATGGTAAAAAACCCCGGCATAATACCTAAATTAGAATCTGTTCGAACAGGCGAAATTGGAAGAAAACGGAAAATGATTAAAGAAATGTTAGATGGTTGTTGGAGATCTTGCCTCGACCCCGACCCAAAAACAAATATTCCATTCGTCGCAGAAGCAATTATCGCGAACCCCCCAAGTTTCGCCCATGTGCATTGCGCTCAAGCTTTAGGTGTACCAGTTCATCTTATGTTCACGATGCCATGGACGGCTACGAGAGCATTCCCTCATCCATTGGCAAATATTCAATCTTCGAATGCTGATCCGAAGATGATAAATTTCTTATCTTATGGGATGGTGGAAATGATGACTTGGCAAGGGTGAATATCATGAGTTACCCAGATAGAGGATTATGCTAAAACTACAGAAGCTTAGGGTCTATAATCAATTCCTGGAGGAAAACGTCACTGGATCTGGAACCAGCACCTGTACTATTCGACTCTCACTTGATACAAACTGGGAAAGTGCCTTTCACATATTGCTGGTCACCAGCTCTTGTTGCGAAACCAGTAGATTGGCCTGCAACTATTGGTAAATATTCCGATCTCAATATATAAGAAAATATCCACTGACCAAATCTAGATGTCTGCGGCTTCTTCTTCCGAGAGACGCAACCGTATACCCCACCTGCTGAACTGGATGATTTTATCAAGGCCGGCACTGTACCAATCTATATCGGCTTTGGGAGTATCGTCATGGAAGATCCGACTGCGATGACTGAAATTATATTGGCGGCTGTGAGGGAATGTGGAGTAAGAGCGATCGTCTCAAAGGGGTGGAGTAGGCTCGGTACAGGATTTGTAGAAACCGAGAATATTATGTTCATCGATGATTGCCCGCATGGTATGCAAAAGCCTATCATCTCAAAACTTTCTGTTTTCTCGGACTAATTCGTTGCAAAAGAATGGCTCTTTCAGCAAGTAAGTGCTGTGATTCATCACGGGGGGGCCGGAACAACGGCGTGTGGGTTACGCAATGGACGACCTACGGGTATAGTTCCTTTCTTCGGAGAGTTAGTAATCCCATAACCCTCCACTTCAAAACTTTCCCTAACATCTCATATCCAGCCAACCATTCTGGGCAAAGATGGTACACGCAGCTGGTGCTGGTCCGCCCCCGATTGATATTAAAAACATCAATGCCGAGATCCTTTCCTCGGCCATTAAATTCCTTCTGTCTTCCGAAGCCATTAAGGCAGTTGGGGTGATTGCAGACAAGATGCGGACTGAAGAAGGGGTCAAAGCGGCTGTTGACTCCTTCCACCGGAACCTAAGCGTGGCTGATATGAGTTGTTCAATGCTCCCAGAATCACCAGCGACTTGGACCTTAAAAACAAAGAAAGGGAAAGAAAAGGTCAATTTGAGATTGAGCCACAGAGCAGCCAGTGTTTTGGTGGAGGAGAAGAAAATAGACGCTAAGGATTTAAGATTGTACGCATGCTGAACAGCCCCCTCTTTCATAGTCGCCAATAGCACAACAGACCATAAGCTAACAAGTCATTCATAGATATAAACCTAAACCAATACATCCGGAGAACCAGCGATGGGATCCTGTCACTGCTACCACCTCGGTGGCTCTTGAATCGTTCAAAAATGTCGGCTCGTCGATTGGAAATCTGGTTAATCAGCCAGTTGCGGAGTACCGACGTGCACGAAGCGATTTTCATAGATCCAATACTTCTACAACTACGTCTTCTCAGCCTATGTCACCTTCGCAAGCATCATTGCCTACATACGCTGAAAGTGAACTTGGGCTAGTACGACAAGACTCTCTCAGTGCCCCTACTGAAGACGGAGCGAATGTGAGTAGTGACACAAAGAGTATAGGAGGGAAATCGGACCAGACACATATTTCACAAAAGTCCCATGCTGGGAGAGCAGCAGGTAAAGCATTGGGAAGAGGGTTTGGCAAAGTGGGAAATGCGTTTGTCAAATCAGCAATTGATGTCCCCGTTGCTATGGCAGACGGGCTGCACTCAGCTGTAAGTACCCAACGTTGTCTCCTTGTGGCCACATTTCCCTCACTATCTCCCAATACCTCAAAGCTAAATCTATATAGCCAAGGCTCTTCGGTGGAAAATACCGCGATCATGGCCCTGTAACCGATTGGAAATCAGGCACCATAGTAGGTGGTAAATCTTTCGCGTATGGCTTTTACGATTTTTCCGTAAGTCTTTTCGCGGAACCTATCAGAGGTGCGCGAGATAATGGGGCAAAAGGATTCGTCACAGGAGTGGGCAAGGGAGTGGGGGGATTATTTACACAACCGGGTTACGCAATATTCGGTGCTGTAGGATATCCAGCTCTGGGGCTCTACAGGAGTCTCAACGCGAATAAAGATGAGGGGGCACAAGGGGCAATTCTTCATTCACAAAAGAATTATGGTGCTTGCTTTGCAGAAAGGCACCACGCCACAAGAGAAGAGGTCGCTCGGATTGTTAAAAGATATCAAGAACTCATGGGGATCACTCGTCCGGAGGATATTGCGCTGACTCAAAGTCGTTTGAATGCTTTACCTCAAGATATGGGTGGGATTGAAAGTCGATATCCACGAGAAAGCATGGTATCTCAAGCACCAACCCTGAAAAATCGAGGGCTTGATAATACTTCTGTCAGAGCATCTGAAGCTCCCCTGGCCGAGCTAGAAAGTCCATCTCCCAGAGGCGTAATACCTGCCGGTTTCGATGGTCTAGCCTCAAATCCAATCGAGAGTTGGCGTGCATCTGTTCAAACGAACCCCCCACCGCCACCGAGCGTCAGGAGTGATGCTTGGCAGCCATCGTCGCCTCCTAGTAGCCATTCAGAAAGTTCTTACCCAAATGATACAAAGAGACAACCACTATCCAATGACCAAGCAAGCGATGGAATCATTCCCCAAAATGCGGATTACGCCGAGGCATCTCCAGCCTATGCAGAAACAGAGGCTTTAAGCGAGTTGGGTGATGGTGCTGTCGGCGGGAGCGAAGTAGGTGCACCATCAGACCTCTACTCAGTGAGCACCGCTCGACCTCGACCAGCCTTACAAAGTATGGCGCCCCCATACGATTTAAATGGCACTCCATTAGTTTCGCCTCTGACCCCGGCACTGTTCCAACCAACAGTAGAAACAATAAGCGAGCTGAGTGCTGGTGGCGATGTTGAGATACAAGCACCTTCAGACCCCTCCTCGGTTAGCACCCCTCACCCTCGACCAACCACTCCAACGCAAGGTAATACGCCATTATTTTCACCCCTATCTCCAGCCACAAGTGTAGATAGCTCGGCGAGTGCAGAAACCACACTCACTGAACGCGAATCGCGCGAACTAGCGAGGGCGATGGAAGAGTCCTTGCAGGTGCGAGATGAGTTGACTATTGCCATGGAAGAGTCTTTACAGACACGAGATGAAATAACGATTGCAATTCAAGAATCCCTAGACACTGAGAATGCGATAAAGGAGCTGGAGGCTCGGGATCTCGAGGCTGCGTTGGCGCTTTCTTCGAAAAGTTTTGAGTGGGGAGCCCCTTTGCCGGAGAGATCATGATGTATTTGGATTTTTGGCGCAACATGAATGTGTATTGGGTATCTCAACGGCTACAGTGTGTAACTCAGATATAATAATAAAACAATCCATCAAACAATCATCTAACTCCCTTGGATTCCTCTGGAAAATAAAACGAACAGAAACTGCCGTATGTCTTGATCTGTTTGACGCAGCATAATTGACATACGGGTTCTTTCGCAGTCCATCGAGTTAATACAGGAGCTGGCAGGCGGACGAGTAAGAATAAGGGAAAAGAACGTGAAAAATTGGTAGTACAGGATGAAACTAACTGCTCATTTGCCTGGCGTTGACGGCTAGTTTAGATTGAGGTGCACCGGGCGAACAATATTTAAAGATGAACTCTAACCCTAAGTTTAGATAGTTGGCTACAGATAAGATACGTGAGAAGTTGGTTTGGAAAGCTGAAACCGAGGATCACAGGCATTTGCCAAACTAGACAAGTGCTTGTACTTTAAACTTTTGTTCTCTCCTTAAATGGTACAGTTCGTCAAATTCAGTGCCAGACTATCCCAACATACTTGTAGCTTTTCCTAGATCTACTTTCAAGGGGAATTTTAGTCTAGGTTCAACTGGAACTTGGCGTGTGTAAAGGTTGATAATTCCCAGGACCAATTCCAGATTCCATTTTACTGGAGCTACGAGCACACGAAAACTTTGAACTTTTCGAACATCTCCTATCTCCTCCTACCGTCCATCCCTAACCCTTCAGAAAGTTTCCGCGAATCACGATGACTATGTATCACATCGCTGGCGTATGGGACAGAGTGTAGAAAGTTTGTACTACAATTCGACAACAAAGCATCCCAAGTTGCCCCTCTCATATTCTTATCTTACAAACTCCTAGTAATCTTTATTCAATGTCATCGAGTGAGATATGGTTAACTTTCAAAAACAAGCATATCGATTACCGACGAGACATCGCTTCCCTTTTCCCCCAGTGAAAAAAATGACAGAAAAAGAAGCGCAGTAATAACGACATGAGCAAACTCCTATTAGAATTCTAACAATACTTTTTCATCTTTACATGCAGGAGACGGTTTACATACCAAACACCCTAAAAGATATTACAACTGAACAAATACAGGAACGACTCACAAACCTCCATTCGAATACCTCAACGCCTCATTTTACACGCCCATTTGACAAGCATCTCCTCCAACCTCTCTTTATCGACTGGTTTTGCTAAAAAATCATCCATACCTGCATTAGTACACTTCTCCTTATCTCCTTGGATGCAACTAGCAGTAATAGCAATGACAACGATTTCACTCAGTGGGCCTCTTCTTCTCTCGTTAATTTTTTCACTCTTACACACACTCATCTCGATAGTTGTCTTCTTGCCACTTTCTCCGCTTTGCATATCGGGGTCTCCCTCCTCAAGTGGAGTCACAGGCGGAGACATAGGTGGGGTGACCGCGTACTCGGATTTCGTTCGAAGGTGATTGGTAGCCTCGTAGCCATCCATAACCGGCATTTGAACATCCATTAGAATTATGTCAGGACGAGGTTGCGAGGATGATGGCTGTCGGAGGTAGGAGAGTGCCTCAAGACCGTTCCATACGGCTGTTACTGAAAATCCGAGCCTCCGGATGTTGCGGCAGGCGATAAGTTGGTTGATGGCGCTAGGGAGCTGTTAGTTTGGGATCTAAATGAATGAAAACTTGACACAGTACGTACTTGTCCTCCACAACAAGAACTTGGATTTCCTTTCGCTGTTCCGGGGTTAAAGTCATTGGTGGGTGCTCAGACTCGGTTGAGTTATCTCCTCTTATTTTAGGCGAAGTGAATGATTGTGTATCGCTGCATCCAATTGCTTGGTTGATTAAATCCTGACTTATTTTTCGATGGGCAAGTGGCTGGATCCATGAGGGAATCTTAGTAAGGTTATTGTCGTAATGCTTTGACTCACTGAACTTTCGATGTACAACCAGAGCACCTTTCGAAGACGGCGAAACTTTGAGAGGTACCATGAAGGTTGCCGTACTTCCGCTACTTGTATCTGATTCTAGGGATATGGTGCCAGACATCAAGCCTGCAAGCTAAATCCAGTTAGTGCCTGAGCTCAGAGAAGGCGGTGTTTGGTGATAACAAACATTCCGAGAAATCGTCAACCCAAGTCCAGTCCCCCCGAAAAGTCTCGCAGTTGAAGAATCCCCTTGACTGAATGGTCGAAATAACTTGCTCAAAACATCCTTCTCAATTCCAATCCCTGTATCTTCGATTGAGAATTTCACATCCACCACTTCCCCGCTCTCCTCCTTCCTACTGGTGCCTGAGACAGAAATCTTAACCCATCCTTCCTTGGTGAATTTCAAAGCATTTGTCAATAAATTAGTTAGTATCTGCCTTATTCTTCCCGGATCTCCCAAGAATTCAAGTTCTTCGTCAATCGAATTTTCATGGATGAACTGAATACCCTTTTGCTGTGCGAACATTGAAAGTAGTTTACACAACTCGCCCACTATCGTCGAGAGATGGAAGGGAACTTCTTCGATATCCAGACGTCCAGATTCAATTTTGGAGAAATCTAGAATATCGTTCACTATGGAAAGAAGAGCTTTGCCTGAGAGTTGGATGGAAGAGACGTATTCTCTTTGCTCGGGTGTAAGGGTTGGATCCTCGGAGAGTAACTCAACCATTCCTATGACTCCAGCGGCGGGTGTCCTTAATTCATGACTCATCTATAAACCATCAGTTTCAATGTAGAGCAGACTAGATTCCTGGAATTCTTGAGCTCCAGGGTGAAGCTTGACAAACATAACAGATAAATGCGGGAAAACACATCCCCTACGTTTGTTTGTGGATAAAAACATAACCTCCACACTTTCAATATTTGAGAGTGCATTAGAGATCGATGCTAACTTCGAAGGCGCACTTACGTTTGCTAGGAATCTACTTTTGAGCTCATTAGAAGCTTTGGCAGCTTGCTCCTCTGCTGCCAATCTCACATTCTCAACCTCGAGTTGTCCTATTTTCTTGATATCAGTAACATCTGTCCGTAAGCCCATGACGCCTCTGATGGTCGGTTTTCCATCTTCGTCCAGAGTATTGTGATCCAGATCAACAACGAGTTTGACTCGATAGATTTTGTCTCCCACAACATCCTCAGAGTAAGCCATATCGATTCTGCCTGCCAGAATGTCTTGGGCATTTTTCTGGAATTCTGATAATACTATTAGATAGGTATATGATAACAGGGAAGATCCCGGAGCCGACCTGTTCCAGCCCCCTTTGTCGCTTCTTGACAAATTTCAACTCCCTCACGTCCAACCAGATCAAACGAACGAGGCGCAAGGTCAGTGTTCGTCCCCCCCTCAGCTAATGTGATAACAAGATTCTTGTCAATTGTAAATATCATCACGTCAGTCTGTGACAAAACTTCAAGTACCTGCTCTTTCGATCTCCCTTGTACGGAGTCGTGGATATCGCTGATTGTGGCAGCCCATATCTGATTGCGTTTCGATATTGGGTATACAGCAAGTAACATCCATCTGTAGATACCGTCATGACGCCGGAATCGAACTTCGTGGCTATACTCGGTGCGGCTATCTTTGTTGTGAAACCACTTAGCCATGATGTGAGGTAAATCGTTGGGATGAATTGCATCGCCAGGTCGTCCAGATTTGTCTAGACCAGTAAACTCGCACCACTATAATACATTAGTGCCACTTTTGCTACTTTCTACAGGAGCTGCTTATTTTGAGTATGCTTACTCTGTCGGTTAACCGATATTGTATGTCATCGTTCGAAGCTGTGTGCGTCCATAATAAATTAGGCAAGTTGGTATCTGACGTCTTGGACTCATACTGTGTAGGCATTTGTTGTTCTTTCAGCTTTGAGTAGGCCTGCAATTCCCGAAGCCAGACGACCCCTCCTAGAAAATCTTTGGTAGCTTCGTCATATAAACATTCTGCATCAATAGAAGCAAACATTTTCTGACCTGTCGCAGTATGAATGAACCTACATTCGTATCCGATGAATGGAACTTGAGAATGAGCAAGTCTGACGCCTGAGATTGTATCAAGATCAAGTTTGTAGAGGGTTGATGGGTTGCATTACCTGGATATTCTGCGGGTGAGAGTTGACGAGTAAAGTGTTTATCCCATAGCGGTAACTTCTTATAGAACGTCCGTCCATCACAAAGTCCATTCCCATCCATGATATCCCCGAAAATATCTCTACTTTTTCTGTTGAATATAAATATGCAGTCTTCGTTCTCGTCTACAGATATGAGATAACCTGGGATTTCGCGATTTTCGAATACTGCGTTCCTAATGCGAAAACTGTCGTAGTGGAAAGTTTGGCAACCTTTATCATTGAGGGAACCAATGTCTTCTTGGTAAAAAGAAACATCACACTCCTTTTCTGGCGTCAAGCTGCTATTTCCTACGGGAAAATTCGCAGGTCGCTCGACTGAAATAATGAAGTATGTTTTCCCATCGTAAGTACATCCGGACAATTCTGCGCGCAGTGGCCCCCTGCTCTGTCCAGAAAATGCGAGATTTATCTCATGTGTAGGTCCCTCCCTTTCCAACCCCTCCTTCTCCCGATGAGCACTGTACTCCTCATCGAAGTCCTCCAGCACAGTCTGCCATGGTGCGCTCGGCACTAGCTCCAATCCCAACTTCTCCGGAGAGTACCCATATAATTCCTTGCTAGAAAGCGTTGAACTTGGAAATCCCAAAAGTTTTCGTATCGCCTCGTTTGCAAAAACTGCTGTCCCAATTGATGATAAAACTATTGTGGGCGTAGGGAGGTGGAGGAGGACTGTAAATTCAAGGTTGCTGGTTGGAAGTGCTAGCGTGTCCTCTGCAGTACTCGTTCTGCCATCCACGGCCTCCAGGGCCATACCTATAGCTGTGGCTCGCATCTGATCCAATCAAACTCCATAGAAATCCTCGAGAGCAGCTGGGAAACCACTTTGTCTCTCCCAATACCACCAATTCACTCAGCCATTAGAAGTAGTTGGGGAAAAGCGGTCAATTGTGCTTTGGACGGCTCCATTATTGACTGATGTTCCAGACATACATACATTTAGGATCTGCCAGATCTCCACCCACAAGACAGATTGACTCTGGACCGAAAGCAAAATAAGAACTGTCATCGCCGAATGTAGTAGGTATTACATTCATCTGACATTTACGAGAGAAAACGATGAACCCTGCCCATGACGTGAGCAGCTCTGGAGCCCACCTCTGAGAACCACCGGCATTCACACCGTATCGAAATTATGTTGTGCGATCAATCGGCACCGAAGAAATATCAGCGTTGAAACATTTCATTTCACTACAATCTCGGAGGCTCCATCTAGATTCCAACCACGAGATCGAGATCCCCGTCAAGAAAGGTGCCAACTCAAACTCTTTTGACTGAATCAGCCAATTGCAGCACTGTTCCTCGATCGCATTCGAACTCTGCGAGATGCCGGCGATGATTGAACTCGGATATCCCAGATTGCCGCAAGGCCGCGGCGCAACATGCGAGAGTCTGAATACAGCGGACGGAAGGAGAAGATATTATTTGCATATCGGAAAATCGAATACTGTACTGCAGCAACTATCCCAATTTAGACTGAGCACGCGAACAAAAAAAAGCAAACAAAAAGAAGAAGAAGAAGAAGAAGCAGCGTATATCGGGCTGTTCGTGAAAAAGAAACCCCCAACTTCAATTAGGCATATACCAAAACTCAGGTAAAAGGAATTTTAAGAGTGCAACTACACGAAACTGAGACCAGACTATATCACCAGAAGACGAAGGGAATACCGCTCGCCTCTGTGATAGAAGGGTAAAAAACATGCTGTATAATGGATCTGGACCGCGCGCATCTTCCACTCCGCCCCCCGCCTCCCGCCTCCCGCCTACATACGAAGTGTAATATATAGGAAAGATATAAGCCCACAATACAGCCTTCGAGGCCAGATGAATTGTTCGATTCATGCGGAGGTTAATTATATTAGAATTTAAAAAATGGGGGTTCCGAGCTGTCCAGAGTCCAGACCCTTTACAAAGATTGTCTATAAACTCCGTAATGGAGGTGGACAATAAAGCTGGACAATGTCACGGAGATCATATGTGGGAAAAGCCTATATTACCCAGATCTAAGTCTCTGATTGCTGGTTAGCTGCAAATCGGGAGGGGTCGTAATAGTCCCTTGAAGGATAGTGTCCAGCTTTAATTGTCCACCCTCTTCACTTTTTCACCCTCCAACGTTCTATGGGAGTTAAGACCCATGAAAAAGTGTGTTGAACAGATAAACTAGATTCCTCAGACTCTGGCCTAGATTCTGGGGTCTACCAAATGCTGCTAGAAACACATTCGTAGAAAGAAAAACATCGGACATACAAGGGAAGGGGAAAAAACATGGTCTAAGTTCATTGGAAATCCTGTTATCCTGAGAACGAATGTTCCATGCAGTGTACAGGTCAAGCAAACACCAGTTTTCTAGAAGAAGAAAAAATCTTACGCACAGGAAAAATAACACTGGCAAAGAACCAAAAAGTAACGGGCCGCGTAATAACCAGAAACAAGAACGCTGCAGAAAACTGGGCACTGCTCACGTAATGAGCAATGTAGACAAGGCCCCTGCCCGAGGCCCCGTCGTTTTGATGTGTTCGCATAGAGATATCAATTAGTATCAAGTAACAGAATGTATTCTGAAAAGTGTGTTGAGAGTCAGTTATGTTCTAATAATAGTAAGCAGCAGAATCGTTAGAGTATCAGAGGTACATGAATGAGACCACGTGAGTCTCGCTTAAAACGTGACTAAACGTGTGTTTATTATCCCAACAGTACGGATATTTAGGAGGAAAAGTAAACATGGCGGTAAATGAAAGGAGAAAGAAAAGATCGACTTAAGTAGAAAGCGTATTAGGAGCACAAATATACATAATGCATTGGTTGTTCTAAAATCTCGCCAAAAGGTTATCGCACTTCTCAGGAACAAAGTAGGAGTTTTTGTTTCATGGCAAAGTCCTCCAAACACCAAAACTATAGTCTATATATTCGAAAGTCCTAAAATCTCGGGTCAAAAATCATCTTACTTGTTTCAATCAAGTTGAATATTTATGGTATGGTTTCAAAATCGTGAATCGAGACCTATTAAACCTTGGAAGAAAAGTTTTGCCAGGGTAGGGCGACCCATAAGACTTGCTTCAAACTCATTGGTTCAAATAAAGTGATTCAGGCAAGGAATATACTCATTTCTGTTTTATGAAAATCAGACAACCAGAGATATCTAAATATGTACCGAGTAGATTGTAGTTCCCAGCAATGGCTCAACCTGGTATCACGTTTCCTCTTACCATTCTTCGTGTTTAATGTGATTGAAAGAGGAAAGGCATTCTAAAGAAAACCAGGAAAAGGAGAGGAGACGCAAAAACCCCAAAACCATCATAATTCATTACCCAACAACAACTATCGCCTATTCAACTAACCAATGCAAAAAAAATAAAAAATCCCAAGTTCCAAAAAAAAGAAAAAGAAAACCAGTCCAATTCCAATACAACAACAACAACGTCCTGTGAACCAACAAAGATCTGTCGATATACCACTCATCCACTGAACCTCCCCATTCTCTGCACAAACTGAATCCTCTCCCTCTTGGTTCCAACACAACTAACACTATCACTAGGTGCAACACTAGCCGCATACTTTTCCATCCCATCACTATCCTCATCAGCATTGCTCTCTGGCAATTCCACCTGGCTAGCTCTCACGCTAACTCGACTGCTGCCTCCAACTCTGCTTCCACCACTTCGACTTCCTTCAACTCTGCTACCGCCGTCATCAACTCGACTAGATCCACCAACTCTACTACCACCATCATCAGCTCGACTGGATCCACCAACCCGACTCGACCCACTAACACGCGAGCCCCCAGAACGGGACTCAGCAACAACGCTTCTGGGTACATCTGCTTGACTACCAGCTCTGCTCCCTACTCTACTACTACCCGACACCCTGAGAGTGACAGTCGAGCCCGCGCTACTACCCGCCTTGCTGGGGGCACCCGTGATATAATTCGAATGCACCGATTGGGCCGTTTCCGGAACAAGTGTTCGTTCCGTTCTATGACTTCTGGCAGAAACATGCGAGGCATCATCTCGATGACTAGGTGCATAGCGTTCCGAGACGGCCGATTCGCGGGAGGAGTGATGTTTGCTCCCACTTCGGTGGGAGGAAGTCGAGACATGGCTAGGAGCGCGACTAGGAGCAGGAAGCATCTGTAAAGCCTCCGCCGTGACTCTGGAGCGTCCAGAGCCGGAGACATAGCTCCCCTCATCAATTCGCTCCATGTATCTGTCGCCTTGGTCCATGTACCTGTCGTCTTGCACCCCAGTACCAGCCTCGCTGTACTGCTCAACGTATCTAGGTCTCACATCCCTAGCGCTCGCAGAGGACCGCTCAGAGACGACGCTGCGAGCGGGAATGCGTTCCACGACATGATGCTCCCGATGCCAGTCCTCTGACCCATGGCTCTGAGGCTGTTGATCGTAAGAGGCTCTTCTTGGGTTGGCGGACATTGCCATAGGAATAGGCGCAGGTGCTGGTTCTGGAGACTCGCTTCTCACCATGGCGTAAGCGAAGGCCGCACCGGCAGCAGCACCAAGGAGAGTTCCAATGACTTTGGAACTGAGGCCTTTCGACTCGGCGGGAGCGACGACAGGCTGGCTGACACTTCGACTCAGCTCAGGATGTTGTCTTCTATAAGTCTCGGTTGTGACGGTGTGTCGTTCCATAACGCGTGAAGGAGCAGGACAAGTATTTGAACGTCGAAATGTTCCCGGTCCTGGATCAAAGGTTGAGGCAGAAGCTCCAGAGACGACACTCCTCGCAACATTATCCTGCCAGCCTACCACACTTCTAGAATCATTTCGTTCTCCTCGTTGTGACCCGGCCTGAGAGGCGCCGTCATGGTCGGTATAAGCTGCTTGTATCATGTTGCCGTCAAAGTCTTGAATCTTAGCAATGAGGTATTCGGCTCCTTCAGTTTTTATTCGGTCAATGGTGTGGTATTTGAAAGACTTATTTAAGAATTCGGATTTCTTATGAAAATCGGTGAGAGCTTTTTCGGAAGGGGCGCTTAAAGATATATTTGAAAGAATCGGTGACGCGGAGGGTGCCTGGGCAATGGAGAAGACAATATTTCTTCGGGTGGACCCGGATTCAGTTTTGCTTATGGTCCCGTAATGGAGACATGGAATAGGCGCGCTAGGGGAAGAGGCAGAGAGGTATTGGAGACCCAATGGCTGCGTTATGGCAGCGTAAAATGAAGAAGCACTGGGGAGATGGGAAACCTCAAGGATGGGAGTTTGAGATGACATGAGTCTCGTTGGAATGGAGAGCAGGGAAAAAATCAATTGCCACGATGTCGTACAGTAGTGAAACGGCTCTGCAGTGTACAGCGAATATATTTTCTAACAGGACATAGTCAGTTTGGTCCCTTAAGTATGGATGCAGTTGACACGAGAGCCGGACACCATCTGCTGGCTCAAGACGGTGTGCCTGCTCCACTATCCCCACAGTGGATCTTTTTGCTTTGCTCAGAGCTTCTCTGCCATCTTGACATCCAGTAACACGACCTATACTCTCACCCACTTTCCCTTTCCCCTTCTCACAAATTGGGCACAAAACCTGCAGTAGATTGATCCGCAACAACTAATATCTGCAACATACAGTCCGGCCCGGCCAGGCACGAACGCAGAACAACTCCCCTGCGCCCTGCTAGAGCATGCGAACACTTGACAACGCCTGTCAAACGTCTCCAGACTATGTGGGCGGTTTCTCTCCGTATGCCACGTTTCGCGAATAAGAGGCTGCTTGATCTCCCGAAGTCGTTAAGTGGCGCTGCGTTGCATATGCATGATCGCCTCGGTTTTCTGATTGGGTCTTGGTATTCCAACGCGGTCAATAGGATCGGTTCCCCATTCTCCATTTCTGTGGAGTTTCCTGACAATGGGAACCGGGGCAGAATTGGAGTCCAATTGAAAGATGCGAAATTTCTGATCTGTGGTTTCGCAGGATCCAAAGCCACCGCGATTGCCGTCGTATGACTCTGGGGGCCCTGCATGTTCGGATAGAGGGGTTAATATCAGCATAGAATAGTCTCGACTCACTCACGAGGTTGCGCAATAAGCCCGAAGAAGCCTGAAATCATTTATTACCGACAGTTCGGGGAGTTCATCGTATTCATCTTATTCTAGGAAGCTCCATCTTGGGATACATGAGGCGGCCAAAATTCGACCCATGTTCATTCGCTAGGTGCATCCACGCGGATGAGGCTATCACGACCAAGTTGAGGCCCAATCTCCAAAGGAAAGGGGGACCACCAACTGGTTGTCCTCTTGTCAAGGGCGATTGATCGTACCAACAGCAACTTTGCTGACGAGAAAAAGGAAAGAAAAAAAGACCAAAGGAGACGTGAGCCAGTTGAGTGGCTCACAAAGACGACTAAGCGTCTTGGATCTGATGTTGAACGCCTGATGTTTTGGTTGTAAAAACAAGGACAGAGCACACAGAAACCCAAGCTCGGCGACCTCTAGCATAGCAATGATGTTGTTATCGATAGCATCTGCTAAAAGCCCCGCTTTCACCTGAAATCGACCAAGTCTCTCGTATGCCTCCATCTTTCCACCGTTTCGTGTTAGATACCGTGGTTGTCGTTGTCGAACGTTGCTGGCGGGGCGATCAGATTAGGTGTGGGTCGAGAAGTGGGTTGGCACTAGATGACATCCCACACATCCTCTGCGGCGTGGCAGAACTTGCTGCAGGCGACACTGGCGGAGAGGGAGTAGTTGCTGATGGAGATCTTCTCATGCACGTACTGGTCCGCGAAATTGTCGGAACCTTTAGCCATGGCTCCAACGAAGACACAAATACTCTCATTCTCGTCGAGGGACTCCACGTATTCTCGCACACGAACCACTTCCGACTCAAAACTGAGGGTAACCTTGCGGCAGTTTGGAGGAAGATGGTCAGTAATGGGATTGGCAATAACCTTGAGGAGTTTCTCCTGGGAACTGACGGATCGGATGGAGAGACGGTGCAGGAGTTGGACCATGAGACCCGCAAATCGCTTAAAGGTACGTGGGATTCGAACTGTCGGGCTCACTTCGATGAGCACGCCTTTTGCGGTGTGGATATAGATCTGTAGCTTTCCGGCCTTGTTGATCGGAGAATCAAGAAGGGTCAAGAGGCACTAAGCATTGGTTAGCAGGTAGCGCCTGGTGTGCATATCGAAGATTCCAATCCAACCTGATGTGTAATGTCTGGTCTGGCGTCACTGATATCGCGGTTCATCTTACGCATGACACCAATGTGCTCGTCACTATTGAGGAGAGAGTATTTCTCGTCGCGTTGGCCTGGTCTGCCGCCGCCATGGCTGGCCTTGTAGGTCTCGAGACTGGCGTTGGAGAGCACGACGATGAGTCGCTTGGTATCTTTGTCGGTCTTGGGGATTGGGACATGCTGCTCCGCGACGAGTTGAGGGAGGCAAGGAGGAGGTAGAGATTGGGTTCCTGACATGATGAGGGTTAATCAGCTTCTCTGCGCCAGGTTGTTGAAATCTGCGAGATGAGGAATCCGAGGATGGTGAGTTCCAGAAATGTTGCGCTAGTTGCGTTGCTTTCTGGGTACTCGTAGTCGGTGGTGGTTTGGTAGGTTGAAGGCAGAATAACTTGCCAGTCAAGCAGAACACGGCGGGTTTTGTGAATGGAAAACAAACCAACTAACTCCTTGAGATGTTTGCTTATTGGCTTATTTGCTTTTTTCCCCCCTTTGCCTTGTAATGTTGCGATCAAGACGGGAGTTTTGCTTTGCTTTGGCTTTGGTGCGGGCAGCAGTTCGGGAGCTTACTGTACAGGTACGACGCGAGTATCGCATTCGCTACAGTATCGCTGCCACCACCTCGGGCCGAGTCATGTCCATCGCTCGCAGGCAAAATCGCAACACCCGACGTTCATTGGGAAAAAATGTGAAAGAAAAAATTCGTGAGAGAAAAGGGAGTTACTGCTTACGAGGGCGCTTCACCGATCGACTTTCTGGCGACGACATATTGACGACGCGGATTCGGATGCAGATATAGAGTAATGCAGTATAATAATACAGTATTTCTATTCGATGTACTTTCTGAGTCGTGGTTGTGCCTCGCTAGCCTGGGCAGGAGTGGAAGTGGGAGTGCGGGGTGTTTCTGAAGCTCTGAAAGCTTGATAATGCGTAAGAATTCAGCGGGAGAAGACAATGACTTCGCAAGTTGGACTAATTCGACAGTGTGAGAGCGAGATACACAAAAACACGAGGCCGTTTGGATGTGATGTGAGAACAAGAGAGGGGAAGGGGATGGGCGACGGGATGTGAGATGTAAGACAGAAATCTCTACTGCTGAGTCGCGCCGCTTTAAGCACGGCCAAAGTCAGAGAGAAAGCACTTGCCGCTTTGCGGCTTGAGCACCCCACTCTCTGACTGTACTTGTTTTTATACCAAGTGTATCGACAGCTTGATATATGGATTACTAATCTTGGTTCCTATGAATAATTAATGCTGACTAATATCAAATTTCCTCTTCAATTTAGATATCTTTCAATAAGGGAAGTTTTATAATCGATTTTGAGTAATAGTACCTAGGTAACAACGTTTATTGGCGCGTATTATAAAGTTTTTTTACGCGATTTATTTTAGTAACGAGCTAGAATTCAATTATTGTATAATAATAGAAGAAGGGGATTGCAAAAATAGCTTTAATCCAAATCCGAATACAAGGAGGGTATCTAAGCAGAACGCGACAGCTAATGTTACTCGAGCTAGGCTTAATTAAGCATTAAGAAGTAGAACAACGAGTGGACTAACTTTCATTAGTACTAACAACTCTTAGCCTCTGTCTTCACAATATTTATATAGCTTCTGTACGGATATTACTCAGATTTTGTCCACTCTAGAACCAACTTTACCTGTGAAACCATCACTACACATCGAGGGCAAAGCTTCCCTTCTATATAAAAAACTATTCTTAGTATATTCCTTACTTTGCGCGGATCCTACGCCAGAATCCCATTGAAAAGCTACCTCCTCAAGTGAAGGCACTAACCTTTCGCAGAAACAGATCTAGCTTGAAGCTAAAAGATAGTGACCTAGGTATAACAGCACCGATCAAGCACGCCAGATCTATAGACTGTAGTGTCTGTCCAGCTACCCCATGTTTTAATGACACATTACCTCGCTAAAGGTAAACAAAAACACTTTTCGAATGAAAAAACCAAACTTTACAGATTCCTACATGTAAGCTTTTACACTTTATGATATTTTAGTAATATCTACAAGGATGCAACGACTGGCCGTGGAGAAACAGATCGCTATTGACATCAGTTTTCTATACTAGTACTCGTGCACTGCCCTGTATCTCTTCAAGGTATAATTATTCCAGTCAGTGCAGTGTCGATTTTGAGGCAACTTAATATTACGTTCATTACGAAGAAAAATCATTAATAAGCCTTATATACATGATTTAGTGATTATTAGCGACAATTAGAAAATAAGACGGGATCTTGTAAAGATCACGTAATACTTCTCCTCTCGCTTCCATCCGTCAGGTCTCTTCTGCTATTCAAACGATTCTTTAACAATGAATTTCGACCTTGGTACTTCGATTCTGACTAGACCTCGAACGGACCGTAGCTCGACTATTCTACGAGACAACGTTGCTTAGCTATTAGCTTCGCGATGTGATGTTATTAGTAGTACAAGCTCTCGGTTACAGCCTACTTGGAAAAGCTAGATGTTCCGGAGAGCGAACTTATAGGGAAAAAAGAACACTTGCTATTTAGTCTATCTCGCTAGTAACATACTGTTGTGCTGGGTCTACTTTCTCTTTTGCTCCACTTCCTTATTTGATCCACTTATAGTTCTGCTGCCTAAATGCTTCATATCTGCCTAAACCTTACACTCTTTATATGAACACCTTAGATAGCTACCTTTTACAATGCGATCAATTCTCCATGACCTTCAGTACCCAATACCCTTTCAACCCAATACATACCTACTGTGAGAGGCCAGACCTCGAATAGCTCAAAGGTGTGGTTTCGAATATTCAATTAAGAAGTGCGTGAAGACTACATAAATACAATCTCTTCCTCTATATATAGAGAGAGGAAGAGTTTCTGGAGTCTTCCAAGAAACTGTTTGACAAATACGTGACGTCAAGAGAATAGAGTAGAAAAGTGTAGAAAAGGAGAAACCAATTTAGCAGTGGAGCAATGGCCAATGCTGAGCGGGGACTTTGGTCAGTGCTTAGCGAGGGCATGGCC